CACCCTTGATATTCTTTTGCATTGTACTTTTTCTGATGAATGTAAAAAGAAATGTGAAACTAATACACTTTTTTTTGTAATTTTCTTCCAACCCAGAATCCACCAGTGGTCACATATTATACCTAGGAACATTTCTTAGTTTCCTGTTAGTGGCGTTAACTGCTGGACAACTCATCTACCTGCATAGATTCTTTTCTTCCAAGAAACTCATATAATAACCACAATACGACAAGGAAATATAAAGTCACTATTATTTAATAATTATTATAGAATATTAAGCCTGTTCTTTAGAATTTTTTGTTTCTAGAAAGTGTTTCAAGGAAACATTAAAAATATTGTCATGCTTCTATTACTGTGCGCACACACTAACGCACACTAACCAGGACCACTTGAAGAAAGTTAACTAATCAGGGAATAGATTGAAAAAGAAAGGAATCAAACTTTAAAGTCAAACTTGAACCAATCAGGGGCAAGCAACAAAGCCTATACCTGATAATATATTGCTGGTTTGCAATCATTCCCAAGAGAGTGAAATAACGAAAGACCTGGCAGCCATGTTGGATGACATAACAAAAGAGACTAATGATGGATCTTTTGTTAAATTCATCCAACATGGCAGCTGTGAAAACCATCAATATGAGAAAAACTGCAGCAACTGTGGGAATAAGAGATATTGATTTTGCTCTCTGCTGATTGGCTAAAGGTTAGATTGCAAGTAGTCCTGGTTGGTGTAACCACACTGTAAAAGCAGTCACCTATGGGTAATAATATAACCACCTAGCTTGCAGCTGAATGGAGGTTGGCCAATGTTCTATGTTATAATTATGTTGCTAGAATAGTTTTACTTAACTGTGAAAAAATAGATTAGTAGATCTCATATCCATTGTTTACTTTCGTGTCTATTTATGTCTATTACACAAGTATAGTATAGTAGTAATAAATTATGCGTTCGGTGTGTGTAATGAAATAGAGAAAAAAAGAGAAAAATATCAAATGCCCTTGACAGGAATCGCACCCACGTCTTCTGTATTCCAGCCCGATGTGTTAACCACTACACCCTTATTTTTCTCTTATTCTCTCTATTACACGAGTATAAGTAATTTTTGTTTTTCGGGCTTAATAAAACCAATGAAGCTGAAGGTTTTATGACAAGAAATGTGTTAAAATCCATACCATTCCATAATATTAAATAGAATTAAAAAGCAGTTTTAATATATTTTGTATAGTACAGTATTACATGACCACATAAATTATATTATAATAATATTAAAGTAAGTCGTAAAGGTTTTTGTAGGTTGGATTCATATTATGAAACTAAAATTGACTCATCAACCTTTAAAAATAATTTTATATTTTCCTTAGTTTTCGACTGACACGGTCATCCTCAGATGACAAAAGAACATTATTTTTAATAGAGACCGTGGCAGAATTCTGCCAGCAAATTACATAAATCTTTTGTGATTTTCAATGCTCGTGCTTTCAGGTTTGTGCACGTGATTCTTTTGCTCACGCATATGTACAACGTTTGATCGCGTAGTTTTTGTTAATATTGTAACGTATTTTAGTTCCTCTGAGGATGACCGTGTCGGTCGAAAACTAAGGAAAATATAAAATTATTTTTAAAGGTYGATGAGTCAATTTGAGTTTCATAATATTAAAGTAATAAATTGTTGATAGAGGACAGCTTTCATTCATCAGGCAAAACACTCAAAAATTTCAACATTTTCTAATGTAATTTTCTTGGTTCTGCCATGAAATGTTTGCTAATGAACATAGATAWAATACATGGTGTTGGATATTTATTTACATGGAAAATATAAAGCACTGACTTACAGCACACCCAGGTAAGACAAAATATATCCATTGTYATTCTAGTATTTAAATTCCATCCAAATAAGACTTTGGGATTAAACACGGCAATTAAAATTAATTAAAACAAAGACGTATAAATGCAACAAAAGTAAGCAAAATTGGTGTTGTCTTGATTAGTCACTAGGCGTCATTTTCATTACCGTGAGATATTATGAAATAAGACACTGGGTATTAGGAACTGTTGGATTTGACAAATAATCCTTTGTATGCTTCGAGGTGAGATCACCTAGATATGGGTTTACATTTAATCGTGGGGGTCAGATCCCCAAGGTGAGCTTACGGCTGAGTAACTGGGATGGCTAATGACCAGGAGAGCTTATAACTGGGATTTTATGGTATGCTATACTTTTGATATTCCTTTATTCTTTTGCATAAACGTCATCGCCAACCTTGATTTCTCCTTCTTTCTCAACAGTGATGTGTAATCCAAAAAATGGAGCATTTGCATATCTCTTGTCTCTGTTTGCAGGCATGCGAATCCTGAAGATAAAAAAATTAACTTCATCAAGAGGATAGCTGGAATACTTTATTATTGCTGCACACAAGGTAATGCGAAAGAGGGTAACAGAAAGGGACTGCCAAAAGACTTCATAACCATCATGGAGAGGGGTGGGGTGGGGGGGGGATTATATAACATTTTAAAGAAGGACAACCCAACGTGTAATGAATGAAAGCTATTCTATATTATTTTATCCTATCAGAGCAAGACTATTTTGTCATGTTACTAGAGATGTTACAAATCATTTTACATTCCAAGAACAGAGAATCTTAATATATCAAATAGATAAAGGAGGTTATGGCATACTATTTACCTTCTTAGTGTGTGAAGGGGTTCTCTTCCAGTCTTCACACCCCTCTCAGGATCAACTGTTGTCATTATACATCTGRAAGAGATTATTGTTCTAAGTATCATGCTGGATGTAAAGAAAACAGTAGCCGTGCAGCTCACATACCTGTCACAGTGCTTGAGATACCTCATTTCAACATCCCCTATTTTAATTTTTTTCCAGTTATCCTAAAAAGAAGTAAAACAAAGGGGAATATATATTAAGTGCTATCAATAGTACATGTACAAAATTTTGGTAGAAATCAATCGAAGTGTTTCTATGGTTTTGTCGGAAAACAAAAAGTCTTCAAGGGCACCTACAGTACATGACAATTCCATGTTTGCTATTGATAATGACTGTGTGTAGGTATTGATTCGTAAATCCTCAATAGTCCATTTCACAGTTCCCTTCGCCATCTTGAAAGGTAGCCGTGCCTTTGCATCGAAGCGAGACGAACGGTGACCTTGCAATGATAGAGACCTTTTTTTAACACCTTGGACAATTATTCACATGTCTTTGTCATTGCAAGCTCACCGTTCGTCTCGCTTTGATGCAAAGGCACGGCTACCTTTCCAGATGGCGCAGGGAACTGTGAAGGGGACTATTATGATTAATTGTGTAAACATGGGTTTCAAGTTAGAAAGAAGACTTGTATAGGACTCAGTGTTTTACAGTGTGACTACCCAAAACCAAGGACATGCTAACAAATGTTTCACACAAATTATCCAATCACGTTCGAGTATTTCATGATTGAAAAATTTGTGAAAATTTTGTTTGTGGGACCTTGGTGCAAGCAGTTGCATGTAATGCCTTAATTAGTGCACATGGCATATTAAAATAAGTGGATTGTCATTTGGTAAGAACAAAAAAAGACTAATAACGAACATGCACAATAAAAATTATTATGAGGGAGTGAGAACATGTCAAACGGACTTCTTGTCTCCACCTCATCTCGGCATCCACCTGAATTATTATAATCTAATGCTCCATTCGATGGAGGAAAGTAGTGAAAAAAGTCCACGATGGATAAAAAAGGGTAAAGAAAAATAATATACAGACAAAGAGGAAGATAACATACTATCGTGTGAAAGAAATGGAATGATTTAAAATTAAAATCTCTCACCTCATCATATGTACTTGTCCCTGTTACTATTACATTTGGTCGAAACCTCTTCATGTTAACTGGATTTTCAAGTTCTTTATTCAAGGCATTAAGTGCTTCAGTGGTTGCTACTAGGACTGGAGCAAAGTCTCCAAATCCACTCTGCAATGAAATGGTTTTCAAACTTTATCACACATATTTATGATAATTATTGAAAATATGGTCATGTGACAGCAATCAAATCAAGATGAAAATGTTAAAAATGACTGATTGATTAAGGTTTTTTCACCAAATTGTCTTAAATGATATAGTTTAAGAATGGTTTTAATTTTAAGCCTTGTTTCCATGTTGCTAAATTTCTGACATGTAGTTCTTGTCTCTAGAAATAAATTTGGAATGGCTTTATATTAGAAAATGTCACTGCTAGGGTTATTAGGGACAGACCATTAGATTTTTGAGGGGGTGGGTGGGGGGTTGGGCAATTTATTTTGTGCAGGAATTTTTTTTAAGCCTCATGGCTGTGCAGAAATTTTTTTGGACATACTGTAATTTGAAATTTTTTGCTGGCACTTTTCTTATGCACAATCTTTTTCACTGTTTAAAGCTATGCTCAATTTTTTKGGKTTTTTTTCCTGCCTCAAAAATCTAATGGTCCTCTTAGTGATGTGGCAAAGTTTTATGCTTTTATCATCAAATTGAACAATTCAGTGTATTTTTGGCTGATAACAGCTGGACTAATAGCAACAGTAACTAAAAGGCTGTTATCTTAGAATGATAAGTTATACACCGTAGTGAAAATAGTAACTAACTAACTCGTACTGATATCACCATCAAGCCCGCTGATAAAGGTGGTGCTGTTGTCGTTTGGCGCACTGATGTGTACAAAGAGGAAGCTTTACGCCAACTCTTGGACACCAATTTTTACCTTGAAATCAACAAAGACCTCACACCTACCTACCAGCAAACTGTCAAAGACACTATTAACTCTTTTATTTCTGACGGCAATCTTCCAGCTACTGCCAACAATCTTATCATTAACACTCCCCGCACCTCTCATGTTTACTTTTTACCTAAAATTCACAAACCTAAT